TCATTTCTGTGCAGGGCGTCCATCCATCCAGACGTCGTGTTCCTGGGCCTGCGCAGCAGTCCGGTCCAAAAGGCAACCGACCTACTCCCCTCTACGCTCTCTCCCATCTCTCTAATCTCTACTTTACCCAAAAAAAAATACAGCACCCTACGACAGAAATTTCCCCTCGCCTCGCCCGTCACGGCTTCACCGCGCCGTCCGTCCGCCCCACTCCGCCTCACCACTGCCGCCATCCCCACCGTGCCCCAATCCCGCGCCGCGCCATGTCCGCCGCCACGCCACGCTCCATCCCTACTGCGCCCCATCCACCGCCGCGCCCCACTTTGCCTCGCCCGTCATGTCCATGGAGTGCACCGCGCCACCACCACACGACGCCACCATGAGAAGGTCTTCGCCAGCCAGGACGTCTTCGCTCGCGGTCGACCGAAAGACACCGCGGCAGGAAGCCGCACCACCACCGACCCGAGCTTGCTCCCGCTTCTGCAGTATCCCACCAGGAAGGCCATGGCCGCCGCAACGCGTGACCTCAGCAAGGAGATGATGCGCTGAAAGCGCATGTTAAGTTGCAAACGTATGTCTTAAGTGTTTCAGATCTTTAAGAGGTATGCTACAAGTGTTTCATATGAATGTTGCAAACGTAGATCCGGATGTTACATATGTTGAAATGGCTATATATGTATGTTGCAAGAGTTTATTCAAATTGTTTTATCTTTTTCAGACGTATGTTGTAAGTGTTTTATTTGGATGTTGCATATGTTTCACACATATGTTGCATGTGTATATTCCGAATGCTTCAGCTGTTCCAGACATATGTTGCATCAAGTATTTCATATTTCAATTGTTTCATGTTTCAAGCGTAACTCTTGGATGGGACGGCCGAAGTCACGTGGCGTGCATCCGCAGGCAGGGGGCGTGGATTCCTGTGTGTGTGCGCACGAAACAGAGCAGGCATGGGCGGTCTCGGCATGCGTGTGGGAAACGGAGGGGCGCGGGGGGTCCCGTGTGCGGGCGGGCGACGCGGGCAGTGCGTGCGGTCCCTGCGTGCGTGCAGCGTGCGAATATGAGTGGACGGGGCACGTGACATGGAGCTGGCGCGGGCGTCCAAATGCCGGTGTCTGTCCGAACGTCCAAGCGCTATTTCTCTGTGTCCTGTGCATCACTAACAAATATTTCTCAACACAGAAAACCCCCAAATGCGAATCGTGTCGTGTCCTCTGTTCGCCGCCAGAAGCGTCTTCCCCGTCTCCGCTGAGGTCGATCCCATCCGGGCCGCATCGACGCTGTTGGAGATGATCCCATACGGATCGGATTGCTGAAAGGTGTAGCCGGCATCGTGCAATTGACCTATCTTCAGTGTTAAAAATTCTGCAACTGCAACGGCCAAAACAGAAACACCCCGTCGCGACTTTTCAAAGATACACATGGACACACTCATTGGGCCATAACCAGTGAGATGAACGGCTAAAACTTGCAGCTTTCCATCAAGTCAGAATCGATCGGATGGCTTCAGTTTTGTTGTTTTTTTCGACACATCAGTCATCGTTGCAAACACAATAATAATATCGCTAGAGCTATCACAAATCTGTGGCCACCGGAACATTGGCCCTGTTTTGTTCTTTGGTCGTCGGCTCTGCTCGCATAACAAGACAAGCCTAGAGACAAGTCAAACTCGATCTCCCACGTACGGAGTATAAGAAAAAAAAATCCTTGCCAGCGTCTCATGCGGGTAGCGCTTCTCTGTCCCTAATTATAAGATTTTTTGATTTTTTTTGATAAATTATTTTTTATAATATATTTAAACATAGTATATATTAAAATATATAACAAAAAGTTATATATCTAAAAAAATCAGAATATCTTATAATTTAGAATATAGGAGATAGAATCTAAAGGTTTGCTTTCTGGGCAAATAAAATACGAGGGATCTTCTTAGAACTAAACACGCCCTATATAAATATGTAGATACTGGCTAGGGCGCTAGTGGTGGTTTGATGGAGATATAAGACATCTGGACCTTCATAACGAAAAAATCACAATATTATGATTAGAAACAGGTGAATTAATCGATAACTTGTTGTAATGTGCACTGAAATATTTATAGGGATAAGATTTGGTGTGAGGAGGCAAAGCGGTGATAAGATTTGTACGGTATTTTCGTGGCACGGCTGTGGTGTTCTTCGTTTGCTAGTTTCTTCAGTTGCTGCTCCTTCTGGTAGATAGATATAGATTTGGTGTTTGTACCGTTGTTTTTGCTCCATCCCGTGGGTTTTGTTTCTTATTGTACCCGGCCTCCATTATTAAACAATAGGCGCATTTTGATCAGAAAAAATCGGAGAAGCCAAACAAAATAGTGATTTGCCCTTATAATGTATCATCAATATCATCTTAGAAGCATTATGAATAGTATTGCTGAATCTGCATTTATTCGTCTTTCTAATATAAGTCCTAAATTGCAATAATTTGACTAATTGTTGATCAACTTAAGAAAATATGATTTTCTCTAATCAAAATATCATTTCTGGACAAAGAAAGTATTGCTGAATCTGCATTTATTCGTCTTTCTAATATAATCGGCAGCACTTCAACCTGTAGCTCTGAAAGATAAACTGCTGAGATATCTGCATCTTCGGTGGTTCTACAGGGGTTATAAAATAGTAGTGCGGAAAGCTGCCTCCATCTTTTCATAATCCCATCATATATATGCATAAGAATGTTGTCATTTTCGTATATACTATAGACGAAGTTTAAACCTCTCGTTTTGCGACAAAACATATCATAATACAAGCTATGGGTGCTACAAGTTCAAAAAAAAATCGGAACTTCACAGAACGTCTTTTTATGTTTTTTTTTTTGAAATTTCAGCCGGAGCACTGCTACGTCATACTTTCAGCGTATTTAGATTCTATAGTGCATTTGTTCCGGATACGTGGGGCACTCTCGCTTCACTGGGTGAAAATTCATTGCTGTCCATTATTAGCCAGGCAGCATTTGCTTCTCTAGGTCGTGTTGCAGTCACGGCTCACTGCTGTAGGTCCATTGACGAGCCCTTCGGCCCGAAGGTCATGTTGAGACGAAGTTGAAGTCGACGTTGACTGTGACGGCAAACCTTGACCCTAGAGCTGAATGTGACGGTGAGGCGGAGTTGAAGTCGACGCGAAGCTCACGGTGAGGCTCTTGAGGCAGAGTTCATGATGAGGTGGAGTTGAAATCGACATTGATACACACGACGAGGCACAATCGAAGTCGCTGTCGATACTGATAGCGAACCCATCAACCCAAAAGCCATGGCAAGGTAGAGTTGAACTAGACGCTGATGCAGAAGGCGAGTCCCTCCAGCCAAATGTGACGGTGAGGTAGAGTTGGAGTCAATGTCGATGCTGTCGGTGAAACCCTCTCTAGCTGAAGGTGATGGTGAGCCAGAGTTCAAATTGACACCAACATATATAGATGATGATTCTCTCGAGCTGAAGGACACGACAAGGTAGAGTTGAAGCTGACACCGATGCAAATGGCAAGTGTATTCTTGGGGGAACGCCCTTCACGTGACACCCCACCCTCACTTTGGTCTGGGCAGAACCCCCGCCTTTGGCCCCGCAACACAACCGAGCCTGGGAGCACCACCGGCAGGGACCCACGTTGAGGGTTCCTACCTCGCGCTGCCTAACCAGCACCGCCGATGAGGGGCGCCTTGATTCTCTGTTTCTACAGGGCAGAGGACTGCCCACGAGGCATCGGCAGGTGGAGGAGGCCTTCGCGCCACCGACCCAACTGCCGTTTGGAGGGAGACGAAGAACGGTGCACCCCCCCACCCCACCCAAAAAAAATGGAGATCCCAACGTTGTTAGAAGAGTGGTTGGGACCGAGGGGTCAAATGACATCGATGCCCCTGCGTCAGAGTAAAAGGACCCTCGGCCTGGCTAGGGGCAATTGTAGTTTACTATTGGCCACGAATCTGGCCTATAAATACCCGTGGATCATTACTATTTCGGATAATGAATTAATGATCATTTACTCTTGGTCCCACACGTGTCCCTCTTTTAGTAACCCTTGCTTTTCCTATACATGTGGGACACCCTCAGCCTCCTCCGCGCTATCCCGTAGCGAGTGTAGGAGGCCGGGCGAAGCCCCCACATGTATTGAGCAAAAGTTGATGGCGGGGTGAAGTTGAAGTTTACATTGAAATGTCGTTGCTGTCCATTAGCTAGGCAGCACGTGCTCCTCTAGGTTGTAGCATGTGTTTCCGGCCATTTGCTGCCATACAAGCATATATAATCTGTCATTGTTATGTCGTTTTTTATACGCATCATGGTCTTGTAGTTTCTTAATCAAAACATATATACTTGTCCTTATACATCGAGTGGCGCAGGTACAATCAAGACAAAAAATCTGTTACCCTCTAATTCGTTGATGAGAAATCAAAGCCTTAAGTTTTTACATAAATCAAACAATAATCAATTATTTGTCATTTGAACCACCCATAATTTGGCAGATATTTTGAAGACGTCTGGTGCACCATAGGTGCCAGGTCTCTGGTATCTATTCTAGCTACTATAAATTGAACCCTGTGATGAAGAGCATTCAGATTCATTGGGTGCTTTCTTTGTTTCTTTCGAACAACCAGGAAATTATACCAACGAAATTTGTAGTCATGATGATAAATCTACAACGCGACTTTCACATGGCTGAAGGGGATGGAGAACATAGCTACGCAAAGAATTCGAGGGTTCAAGTACTCTTCTAATCCCCTTTTACCATTCATGCACAAATATAACTCTTATATGCTGCTATTATAGTTTGTCAGAATGGATTATTGATATTGTAATCTCCACCAAAGTTGAATGCATATAGCATATACATATGTTTTATTAAACAACGTCTTTAACATGTTGTATGATATATTTCCCCTCTGTGCATACTGCTAGGAGAAGCTTATGGTACAAACTATGCCAATCGTTGAGAATGCCATAAAGGAAGTATGTACTGCTCTTGTCCCCGAAACCATGGTCATTGCTGACCTAGGATGCTCTTCCGGACCAAACACATTGCTCTTCATCTCCAATGTGATAAACATCATAGCTGGCCAATGCAGTAAATCTATTGGTGAATGTGATCCTGTGGAACTTCAGATCTTCCTTAATGACCTACCAGGTAATGACTTCAACCAGCTCTTCAGTTCACTCGAAAAATTGAACCAAGGTACAATAGTGGAACAAGTGGGGTACACACCACCTGTGTACTACATTTCTGGGTTGCCAAAGTCATACTACAATAGGTTGTTTCCTCGTTGAAGTGTCCATGTCTTTCACTCTGCTTGCTGCCTTCATTGGCACTCTCAGGTATTTCTATCAACGCTTATTGCAAGAAGTTATTTATGCATGCATTCATTTGTCCATGGCAATTTTCTTGCAGTTCTTCGGAGTTTAGAGCAATGTTCTGAAATGCAACATACGACAGGTACCTGAAGAACTTCATGCAAGAAATGGGACTCTGTTAAACAAAGATAATATTTACATCACAAAGACCACACCGTCATTTGTGGTGAAGTGCTTCCAGGAGCAGTTCCATAAGGATTTCTCCCTCTTCCTCAAGCTGCGTCATGAAGAACTTGTATATGGAGGGAAAATGGTTTTAACATTTGTTGGGAGGAAGGACGAGGATGTATATAATGGAGACATGAACCAACTTTATGGATTACTTTCAAGATCATTACAATCTCTTGTTGCAAAGGTAAGTAAGAGTGGAACGTATAAAGTTAGTTTTACATTTTTTTTGTGTGGTTTAAACTTTAGAAATCAGTTGGGATTTTAAATAAACAATGATGTTCATCATAATCTATAGGGCCTTGTGGACAAAGAAAGACTAGAAGCTTTTTATCTACCGCTGTATGGGCCATCAATTTCTGAAGTGAAGGAAATGGTCTTGGAAAGCCACATGTTCAAATTGGATTACATCAAATTAGTTGAGCTAAGTTGGGATCCTTATGATGATACAGAAGGCGATGATGTCCATGACAGCGTCCGTAGTGGTATCAATGTTTCTAAGTTTGTTAGAGCATTGCTGGAGCCTTTGATTGCAAGTCATTTTGGAGAAACCATACCTGACTTACTGTTTGCAGATTATGCATGTCTCATGTCCAAGCACCTTGAGCAAGAGATGTCAAAATCTGCCTTTATCATAATGTCCTTGAAGAAACTGTAGTAGATATACATCAGTGCCAGTGAACAAATTTCTAATGATAATAATATAAGATATCTAATGGGACCTATATATGAATGTGACAGTTGTTGCATGAAACGCCTATTGATTTCTGTCTCGGATTGTGTTCAACTCCATTGCATGTGTGTATAAGGCCTATGTTATATAGTATATAACTTCGATCATAGGAACCAATTTCTAGTCGCATAGCTTCACAAAAAGCGGGCTAACGAAAAGGGCTACGTCGCCCACAAACCCACTAGCCGTCGGATGAAGCAGGCAAGCAACATGAAACGTCCGATCTGGAGCGGTTCGGGTCTCTACCCGCTTCTACACCCACCCGACGCTCGCGAAGTTTCTCTGGCCGTTGGCCCGTCGTGCTCCCTCACGGAGAGTGGGCGGCAGCAAGGGCACGGCGAGTGGCGAGGCGACGCGAACGCAGCCAGCCGCACGGGCGTCGAAGCGCGCTGCGCCTGGACTTCACCGCCCCAATCATGCCCTTCTATGGAGTTGTGCCGCGAGCCGCCGCGGCCGGCGTGAGCCGCATGCCTCTTCTGCCGATAGTGCCGGGGTCCATGTCCATCTCAGCTCCGTGGCCTCCGCGCCGTCGTGCCCCTCCACACGCGCCGGCCGTACCTCTGCGCGGCGACCCTCTCCTCCGGCCTCCCAGCGCGCCTCCGCGTCATCCCTCTGCCTCCACCCCGCCGTCAGCCCATCTCTGCCACAAGCTCACAACTGTGGCTGCTCGTGATTTTCCGTTGAAGGGCTACTAGCCTACACAAAATCCACACGGAGACAGGCCATACTCAGAGCCGGCCGTTGCATGGTCGCCTGTGAAGCTTTTCGCCCTTGCTCTGATCATCAGGCAGTGTCGTTGCTGACCGCCAGGGAAGCAGCGCTGAAGCGGCGGCCATCCAAAGCCTCTCCGTGCTTCAAAGAGGTGAATAGTACAAGCTACATAATTCAGTGTGTATGTACTTGTTCATACAAGAAATAAAATACATAGAAAAAATAATGATGCATCCCTAAATTCTGAAACTGATTGTATAGATTTTCTATCTATTGGTATCTTGATTATGCTTAACACATTTGGTATTATGGCTTATTTCCTAGCAATTACTTACGGTTTTGAGATATATTAATTCCTCTTTACATAGCAGTCCTGCTCGCACACTAGCTAACATGTTTCAGATTACACTTACTAAATAGCTTACCCGTAATTAGATCAATTCCTATGAATTCAGGGATTGCCAGCATGCTGCAAATGTATCTATAAATTTGTGTAAGAACTGAAATTAGAAATACATAGTTGTATTCATTTATGTCAAACAAAAACTAAAGCTACAATTTGAACTGTAGTTAGCTGAATATTGTTGTGATCAATTGAATGCATGATATTCACCATCCTAGGTATTGATTATATAGGTCGAATGCACTTTTTAAAATATCTTATCCTCACATGGATGCCTCACTAAGCCGTCGTTACTTGGAAGCATACTCGGTGGTTTTCAAAGTAGTGTACAAAGTGGATTCTGAAACTTTGAAAGGCTGGCAGCCTGCATTGATTTCTTCAGGAGATTCTCGTGATGACCACGAAGCAACGTTATCACTTGAAATGTGCAATTTATGGCAGGATAATCAGGGATGACAGATTAAAACTATATCTAAAAAAAAGTGATCTATTTTATATATCTACATGCAATATGTTAACAAATATAACCTAAATAACCAGTGCACAATACGCTTGCACGTTCCATCAGAAGGTGGCCAAAACACTGGCCCAAATTCTATATAAGGCGCGGAAAAGCCGCGCTGTTTTCTAGTTTATTTGATTTAATTAAATTAAAATAGGTCAAGCCTATAATTAAGTTCAATAAATAATGCATATTTATCAATATCTATACCTAGTAATAAAGAGGCAAAATTCTGGCTATTTTTTTCATCCAACCCCCCTAACTACCGGTAGTTGAGAGTTTCTTCCGCCTTGACTTATATATATAACCCGCGCTCATACAAATTTGAATAGCTCAGCGGCGGATCCGGGAAAAATTTTAGGGGGGGCTGAACAACACATACCTCCGACTGCTACTCGATTTTAAGTCTTAGCCCCACCTACACTATAGAACTTTGCCTAAAAATTCATGGGGGTTCCACTGCTCTGGTATAGGTAGGGGGGGGCTCGAGACCCCCGGCGGTTGGATCCATACTGGCTCTTGTCTAGCGCAATACGACGTCCGATTCCAAAACGTATTGGGTTGTGTATGGTCTGTTTAACCAAAGGGTCCATACTCATGCGAAAAAGTCCATACCTAATAGGACTACTATATATAGTAAATTCGTTTTTTTCCTTTTCCTATTTCACCGTCTATTCGGCCTTTTTCCGTTTTTAAGACTATCTCCTATCAATTACTGTATCCCATCCGTTTTTCATTTTCGTATTCGTTCCGCTTCTTTTCCTCATTTCCTCTTTTTGTTTTTCTTCTCCTTTTTCTCCTTTTTCTTTTGTGAACTGCCTGGTCCGTTTCATGCACTTTCCCTTATTATTTTGCATGTCATTTTTATTTTTCCATTTCTCTCATGATTTTTCTTATAAACATAAAAATAAATAATAAACACAATATTATGGATCTTTGGATCCTTCATCCTTCCCTAATCCTTAATAATTAAATATTCCTACTACTAAATTATTGATGTAAATTGATTAAGAATAAAAATTATTCTTATTATAACCTAGATCAGTTAATGGTCTAATTAATTAAATCATAAACAGAAATCTTGGGTAGTTTATTGTCCAATCTAACTGGGAAGCGACAACGGGGGTTGCGCCGCATGTGGCGCCGTGGGAGGCGGTGGCAGCCGGGTGGCGAGGCGGCCACGACGATTTATTGGGGGTGGGGAGGCGAGCGGAGAAGGAGAAGGGGTGGGAGGAGGTGGCGGATGCCGGCAGCAGCGACGCCGTAGCGGACGTAGCCGCTAGGCCGGAGCCCTAGCGAGCGAGGCGGGCTGCCTGCAGGGATTCCTCTTTTCCACTAAACTTTCCTGCTCTTTCATGGATAATTAAATATATTTATATATTTGATTTAAAAACAATATATGTTTATATATTTCTACTTATTTTGCACGGCACAAGGAATTTGCTAATTTGGCTGGCATTATTCCAAATTGCACTTTTATAGACTGTCAATGTTCTAATGTAATTATTGCTTCGTTGCCGATGGATTAAATGCCAAATATACATATCTTTAGTAACTAAGTAGAGATATAAGTTTTGATTTCCTCTTGTTGTAACGCACGGATATGTTTGCTAGGCTCCGTTCGCGTGTTCTTAAACCCGGTTTGATCCGCTTTTTTTTTTCATCTAGAACAGTGTTTTTCTCTCATAAATTCCTCCAGCATTCCTCCAAACCATCCAAATTCCTCCAGAATTCCTCCAAGCGAACAGACCCCTAGTAAAAAATAAGAAAAGGAAGATGTGTCCTAAATCGAACAGATATATCTTTGGCAGATAGATGAAGGTTACGATCACGGTCTAAATCAACAATGTTTCAAACGTACAAAACTTATTAAGAATGACGACGTGTCCTCGTCTCGTCTCTCTCATTGTCTATTCAACCATGGTGAACCGCGCCAAACATATGGGTCGAAACAGGGACACGTAGCGTGTAGATCCACGTTGTGGCTAGCTTGTGGGACACCCTTTCCTAGCATGTGGCGTAGGCGATGTTTATCTTTAACTTCCCCCTCCTCCTCGCCGAGGGGGCAGACTCAATCAAAAATTGAGCGACGGAACCTTTATTACTCAATCTCTACGGCTACGGGACAAAAAACCAAGAGTCTCATTGGTTCCCGGCCAAGATTTGTCATGGTTGGCACGGCTCGGTAGTAGTGCCGTGCCTGGCCGCAACTTCGGCCTGCAGTGTCAGCACGGTACGGCTAATGGGCTGGTACGACGCTGACCCGATTATTTCCACTGTTGGATGCTCTGAGGATAGATGCTAACCATTGGATGTATTCGGAGCCACGTAACACTCTTCCAAACCCTAGCTCCTCAGCCTCCGTCTCTCTCGATCTCTCACTGTGCCACTCCCCTGTCTCTCCCTCTACCGATCTCCCACTCTTCCAGCGCCTTCAGGTCCTGACGGTCGCGTGCCCTCAGGCCCCAGCGCCTGCGTGGTGGCGTGCGCATACTCTCCCCACGACGCATCCCCACGGTGGCCGCGCGTGGCTGGCGGTGCATCCACATGCCGGCGGCGCGCGGCGCATCTGCAACGACAGCGGCGAGGCACGGTGGCGACGGCGTGGCTGCAGCGACCTCGCGCGACGGTGGCGGCTGCGGGCCGGCACCGGCACGCGCAGGCTGCCGAGGGAGTAATATTTTTTCTCCTAACAATAAACTTGTTCAATAATTTTTGGCTAACCTTACGGCTATATATAAGTGGCTCAAGCGTGTCTACATTCAAGTTTCAAGTGCAACCATATACTCACTTCGCTTCAAACACGTTCATCACTTAGTTCCCAATGGATCTACCACCTTGGGCCTCCTTCCTCGGCGTGGTGCTGGCCATCGCGCTCTTCCTGGTATCCACACTCCACCACCACCTCCAGAACCCCTCTCGCAAGTACAACCTCCCACCGGGCCCTCGCCCATGGCCGGTGATCGGCAACCTAAACCTGATCGGCCCACTCCCGCACCGGTCCGTCCACGAGCTCTCCAAGCGCTACGGGCCGCTCATGTCCCTGCGCTTTGGCTCCCTCCCCGTCGTCGTCGGCTCCTCCGTCGACATGGCCAGGTTCTTCCTCAAGACGCACGACCTGGCGTTCATCGACCGCCCCAGGACCGCGTCCGGCAGGTACACAGGCTACAACTACTCCGACATGCTGTGGTCGCCCTACGGCGCGTACTGGCGGCAGGCGCGCAAGTTCTGCAAGGCCGAGGTGTTCAGCGCGGCGCGGCTGAGGTCGCAGGAGCACGCCCGGGAGGGGGAGGTGCGCGCCATGCTGCG